AATTATAAGGAGTTTTTTTTGAACATTTTGATTAAAATATCTCGATTACTAAAATTCGGACTTGCATACTGTAAGCGAAGAAAGTGTTCATCATTTTATCTTCTTTATAATGAGCTGTTATTCAAAATTTTAGCTTGAAGTGACGACGTGTTAGAGAGGCAAAAAAAAAAAAGATGGACAATGGCCACATAGCCAACAACAAAATTATAAGGAGTTTTTTTGAACATTTTGATTAAAATATCTCGATTACTAAAATTCGGACATGCAAACTGTAAGCGAAGAAAGTGTTCATCATTTTATCTTCTTTGTAACGAGCTGTTATTCAAAATTTTATGTTAAAGTGACGACGTGTTAGAAAGCCAAAAGGAAAAAAAGATGGACAATGGCCACATAGCCAAAAACAAAATTATAAGGAATTTTTTTGAACATTTTGATTAAAATATCTCTATTACTAAAATTCGGACATGCATACTGTAAGCAAAGAAAGTGTTCATCATTTTATCTTCTTTGTAATGAGCTGTTATTCAAAATTTTATCTTGAAGTGACGACGTGCTAGAGAGGCAAAAGGAAAAAAAAGATAGACAATGGCCACATAGCCAAAAACAAAATTATAAGGAGTTTTTTTTAACATTTTGATTAAAATATCTCGATTACTAAAATTCGGACATGCATACTGTAAGCGAAGAAAGTGTTCATCATTTTATCTTCTTTGTAACGAGCTGTTATTCAAAATTTTATGTTAAAGTGACGACGTGTTAGAGAGCCAAAAGGAAAAAAAAAGATGGACAATGGCCACATAGCCAAAAACAAAATTATAAGGAGTTTTTTTGAACATTTTGATTAAAATATCTCGATTACTAAAATTAGGACCTGCATACTATAAGCGAAGAAAGTGTTCATCATTTCATCTTCTTTGTAAAGAGCTATTATTCAAAATTTTATCTTGAAGTGACGACGTGTTAGAGAGCCAAAAGGAAAAAAAGATGGACAATGGTCACATAGCCAAAAACAAAATTATAAGGAATTTTTTTGAACATTTTGATTAAAATATCTCTATTACTAAAATTCGGACATGCATACTGTAAGCAAAGAAAGTGTTCATCATTTTATCTTCTTTGTAATGAGCTGTTATTCAAAATTTTATCTTGAAGTGACGACGTGCTAGAGAGGCAAAAGGAAAAAAAAGATAGACAATGGCCACATAGCCAAAAACAAAATTATAAGGAGTTTTTTTTAACATTTTGATTAAAATATCTCGATTACTAAAATTCGGACATGCATACTGTAAGCGAAGAAAGTGTTCATCATTTTATCTTCTTTGTAACGAGCTGTTATTCAAAATTTTATGTTAAAGTGACGACGTGTTAGAGAGCCAAAAGGAAAAAAAAAGATGGACAATGGCCACATAGCCAAAAACAAAATTATAAGGAGTTTTTTTGAACATTTTGATTAAAATATCTCGATTACTAAAATTAGGACCTGCATACTATAAGCGAAGAAAGTGTTCATCATTTCATCTTCTTTGTAAAGAGCTATTATTCAAAATTTTATCTTGAAGTGACGACGTGTTAGAGAGCCAAAAGGAAAAAAAGATGGACAATGGTCACATAGCCAAAAACAAAATTATAAGGAGTTTTTTTGAACATTTTGATTAAAATATCTCGATTACTAAAATTCGGACCTGCATACTGTAAGCGAAGAAAGTGTTCACCATTTTATCTTCTTTGTAACGAGCTGTTATTCAAAATTTTATGTTAAAGTGACGGCGTGTTAGAGAGCCAAAAGTAAAAAAAGATGGACAATGGCCACATAGCCAAAAACAAAATTATAAGGAGTTTTTTTGAACATTTTGATTAAAATATCTCGATTACTAAAATTAGGACCTGCATACTATAAGCGAAGAAAGTGTTCATCATTTCATCTTCTTTGTAAAGAGCTATTATTCAAAATTTTATCTTGAAGTGACGACGTGTTAGAGAGCCAAAAGGAAAAAAAGATGGACAATGGCCACATAGATAAAAACAAAATTATAAGGAGTTTTTTTGAACATTTTGATTAAAATATCTCGATTACTAAAATTCGGACATGCATACTGCAAGCGAAGAAAGTGTTCATCATTTTATCTTCTTTGTAATGAGCTGTTATTCAAAATTTTATCTTGAAGTGACGACGTGCTAGAGAGGCAAAAGGAAAAAAGATTACAATAGTCAAAAAGCCAAAAACAAAATTATAAGGAGTTTTTTTTAACATTTTGATTAAAATATCTCTATTACTAAAATTCGGACATGCATACTGTAAGCAAAGAAAGTGTTCATCATTTTATCTTCTTTGTAATGAGCTGTTATTCAAAATTTTATCTTGAAGTGATTACGTGCTAGAGAGGCAAAAGGAAAAAAGATGGAAATAGTCAAAAAGCCGAAAACAAAATTATAAGGAGTTTTTTTTAACATTTTGATTAAAATATCTCGATTACTAAAATTCGGACATGCATACTGTAAGCAAAGAAAGTGTTCATCATTCTATCTTCTTTGTAACGAGCTGTTATTCAAAATTTTATCTTGAAGTGATTACGTGCTAGAGAGGCAAAAGGAAAAAAAATGGCAATAGTCAAAAAGCCAAAAACAAAATTATAAGGAGTTTTTTTTAACATTTTGATTAAAATATCTCGATTACTAAAATTCGGACATCCATACTGCAAGCGAAGAAAGTGTTCATCATTCTATCTTGTTTGTAACGAGCTGTTATTCAAAATTTTATGTTAAAGTGAAGACGTGTTAGAGAGCCAAAAGGAAAAAAAGATGGACAATGGCCACATAGCCAAAAACAAAATTATAAGGAGTTTTTTTGAACATTTTGATTAAAATATCTCGATTACTAAAATTCGGACATGCATACTGTAAGCGAAGAAAGTGTTCATCATTCTATCTTCTTTGTAACGAGCTGTTATTCAAAATTTTATGTTAAAGTGACGACGTGTTAGAGAGCCAAAAGGAAAAAAAATGGACAATGGCCACATAGCCAAAAACAAAATTATAAGAAGTTTTTTTGAACATTTTGATTAAAATATCTCGATTACTAAAATTCGGACATGCATACTGTAAGCGAAAAAAGTGTTCATCATTTTATCTTCTTTGTAACGAGCTGTTATTCAAAATTTTATCTTGAAGTGACGACGTGTTAGAGAGGCAAAAGGAAGAAAGATGGCAATAGTCAAAAGGCCAAAAACAATAACAATTTCCTTTGAACATTTTGATTAAAATATATCGAAAATGTAAATTCGGACCTGCATACTACAAGCGTAGAAAATTTCTAGCATTTCATCCTCTTTGTGACGAGTTATTATTAAAAATCTTATGTTAAAGGGAGGGAAATATTCAGAATTTCATCCTCTTTGTAATAAGTTATTATTAAAAAGAATATCTTAACACGTCGCCGTGTCAGAGAGATAATATGGGTAAATAAAATATTTGTAGGTTACGATGAGATGCGGCTATTTACGAAAATTCAGGCGGATGTTAATAATTTGATAAAAAGGGGTCTGTACCACAGACTAATACTTCAAATGTTAACTTGTGACTTTCTTTATTTTAATTTAAAAATTCAATAGCAATGCAATTTAACTAGCAACAAGAAGATTATTAAATTGTTCATTATAATTATTCTTAGGGGGTGAATGTCTCAGAATAAAATTTATTTTTCTTCCTCTTTTATCGTGATGCCTAAAGTACACAATGGAGTTGTTTTTTTTTAATATTTAATAATTGACCGTTGCATTATAAAGGAAAGAGATGGTCCGGGGTGGCGGTCATAAATATGCTAAATAGTGATAAAACTATCCCCACATGTAATATTACAGTAAGGCTCGAAATCGGTTTTGTACCAAATATAAACTCCTGTCAGGCATAAGTACCATGAATGAGGTACCGTTGGAGTCAGAATTTCACGGGGGTTAGCGAATCGTATTCTCCCCTTTTGCTTTTCTTTCTAAAATAAATAAAGTCGATACAAACATTTTGCTAGGCTTCAATACTGGAACGGTGGTAGGTCTGTAGATCGATACGGGACAAATTGGACCTTAAAGATTTTGATGCGTACAGCAAGACCCTGATACAGCAAGACCCCCTCCGGAACTATCGGATCCTGCGTTTTTAACCCCGAAAACATACTATTTTCGAGATAACGCAAGGCATAGGGTTCGCATCCACACAACCTTACATTAATTGTAGTACTGTCATTGGATACATGTCTCATTTCGTCGACTTGAGGTCTCTATGATTGAGACAGGAGGAGTTTATATTATTTATCGATGGTGTTTTTGATCGGCAAGCCATATCACCGTTAATTCTTCACCAAACCTCAACATTACTTGCGAATTACTAAAAAATTACACACTTTTCCCTCGGTTATGCCCATGATTATATAAAATATTACTAAATTCTCTACAAAAGGAAAAAAAAATCATTGAAATCGGACAATTTTTAGCAAAGATACAGTTTATTGAAATTTGTAAACATGTTGGTTACAAACATTAATGAAGATTTAAAATAATTTTTGTTTCCTTTGTCGTTTATATTTATCGATAAAGTAACAATTGATTTTTTAATCTTTTGATACGTGGCATTATTGTTTTTTTCTTAATAATTAGGCATTTGAAAACAATATGCTGTGCGAATTGTAAAACAATTGCGGGCCCAATAGTTTTATTAAAAGCCAACGTTTCGACCCAACTTCGCAGGTCTTCTTCAGGGAGGTGTGTACAGCTAGGAGTTTCACTTAAATCTACCTGAGTTTGAGTGAAACTTCTAGCTGAACACACCTCCCTGAAGAAGACCTGCAAAGTCGGGTCAAAACGTTGGCTTTTCATAAAATAGTTTTACCACTATTTAGCCTATTTATGACCGCCACCCCGGACCATCTCCTTAGTTTTTTTTTTCTTTCTTGTTGAATTACCAGAGGTTCGGATTATCGAGACCTTCTTGTATATATTGCTTTGGCAAACCTGTATGGATCCTTGAGCTCCTCCGTGACGAAGTTGAGGTAGTTCCAGCCACCGTAGGCGAAGAGGCCGGAGAAGAGAGCCATGCTGAGTGACACCATGCAGCTAGCGAGGTCGGTATCCCCACCCTTCCACGGCTCTGCCAGGTAGCTAGTGTTACCTGCGAAATAAATAAATAATAATACAATCAATACATAATACATTCAGGTGGGGGGGAAGAGAGAGAGAGAGAGAGAGAGAGAGAGAGAGAGAGAGGGGGAGAGGGAGAGAGGGAGAGGGAGAGAGAGAGAGGGAGAGGGAGAGGGAGAGGGAGAGGGAGAGGGGAGAGGGAGGGAGAGAGGGAGAGGAGAGGGAGAGGGAGAGGGAGAGGGAGAGGGAGAGGGAGAGAGAGAGAGAGGGAGAGGGAGAGGGAGAGATTAAAAGGAATTGAACTGTTGCAGCACCTCCTTAACGTAGTTTGGAAAAATAAAGTTATCCCAAAGGACTGGGAAGTCTCCATCATAATCCCGATTTTCAAGAAAGGAGATAATCGTGAATGTCGGAACTATCGAGGCATATCCCTATTCAGCATCCCCTACAAGGTTTATTGTAAGGTGATCGAGAAGCCTCATAGAACAAAAGATAGGGGAAGAACAATATGGCTTCCGGGCCTAACAGAAGTACACAGGACCTGATATTCACGATGAGACAAATATCCAAGAAGATTATAGAAAAGAGTAGAGAGGTCTTCGCCTGTTTTGTAGACCTAAATAAAGCGTTTGACAGGGTGCAGAGGGCAGACATATCAAGAGTATTGGAGGAGTGTGGCGTTCATATAGGATTGAGAAAAGCCATCCAGAGTATATATGAAACACAGAGAAATGTAGTTAGGATGTGCAACCATACATCAAAAGAATTCTCAACAGATCAAGGAATCAAACAGGGATGCAGCCTTAGGAGCAGTGTTGCCGTTTGTACGAGGATACTCGTATTTGTACGAAGTTATGACGTAATGTACGAGGTACAAAGATATCAGCCTCGTACCTCGTACATAAGTTTTGCTGACGTATGCAATGCAAGGTTATATTTTTATGAATGAAGTTTAGAATTGTTTTACGGTTATTTTGAATGTATTATTATTTATATTAATATGAAATACTGAACTTCTGTTGCTTTATAGACAAATAAATTGCAATTATACCTTCTTTAATTAGAGTATGATTATTATTTCCTTCATAAAACCATGATTGTATATATATATTTTTTTTTAATTTTCTAGAAAAAAAAATAAAAAAAAAAAAATTTAGATTTTATTCAGTATAAAATAAAATATAAGAAACCATATGCATTATTTCCTTCATAAAACTTTTTTTATAAACATATATTTTTTAAAATGTGTTGTAATAGAAAATTAAACAGAAATTTTTACCCTCATTTTTATAGAGCATAAAATAAAATCCGAGAAAATACATACATTATTTCCTTCGTAATTATTATTTCCTTCATAAAACTGCAATTGTAAATATATTCTAGATAAATTAAATTTTTTTTAAATTATTAGCGTAATATAAAAAAAAAATATTTTCGATTTTTAATCGAGTAAAGTAATTAATTGAAAAATTAACTAGTATTTCTAGTATTCATAAAGAACCCTTCTTAAATAATGAAAAAAAAAAGTATTTTTTCATTGGTCCACATTTATTTTGTGCGAGACCTAATTGTAAGCTAAATACTGAAACAATCACAATCTATTATTTTTTTATATTATAATGGATATCTCTAAAACCATTAATGCCCCAATAATTAATTTTTATTGGCCTTCCAGAACCACTAACATCCTTTCATAAAAGTAGTTGTTTTGTTTTTCGAAAAAAGAAAAAAAAATAGTCCTTCCCCCAAATTAAATCTTGGATCTACTAATGAATACTTATGAAGAGTACTTTAAGAAGTTTATTTAGCTATTTTAATTTTTATATAACGTTTTCAGTAGTTTATAAAAATATATAAAAAAGTTTATATATTTTATTAAGCTAATTTTACTTCTTGACCAATTAACTTAAAAAAAGTAATGTAAAAAGGCTTTAATATATATGAATGGAGGAAAAATCTAATTTTACTATAAAAAAAACAATAACACTGGCATTATAACAGTGGAAGTGGAATGAGCAAGCGTACGAGGATGTACGAGGCTTGAGTACGAGGTTTTGTCACAGAGCGCGCGGTAACACTGCTTAGGGGTCTTGTCGCCCTCTTGTTTATACTAGTGCTGGACTCTGCCCTAAAACAAGCAAAACAGAAAATGAGGCCATACAACTTCGGATATAGGAACCTACAGAGCGTCCAGTATACAGTGCTTGCTTTTGCTGACGATATGGTGGTGTTCGGAAATACCGTAATCTGCAGTTTAACCTCAAGATCCTTCAAGCTGAGATGAGAAATATAAACATGGAAATTAACATCTCGAAAACAAAATTTATGAGGATTGGGAGAAGAAGGGACCGAGGAGACCGGATCGTTCGGCTGGGTGGAATCCGCCTGGAAGAAGTTAAGGATTTTAAATAAATGGGTGCTCACCTCAACAAGTACGGATGGGTGGATGGAGAAAGTAAAGAGAGAATTAAGACGACAGGAAAATGCTTCTACTCCCTCAAGTCAGGCTTCTTGGACAAGAAGGAAGTCTTAAAGGCCACTAAGAAGATTGTCTTCAAGAATACCTTCCTCCCTATATTGACGTATGCAAGCGAGTCTTGGACCCTCACTTCCATGCACAAAAGCCAAATCCAAGCTATGGAAATGCGCTATTTAAGGAAAAAAGAGGGGAAAACAAGAAGAGATCGCGTTAGGAATGTGACCATACGAGGTAATTTGGACCTGAGGCCTGCAGAGGAAATAATCCAAGAAAACCAACTTAGGTGGTTTGGACATGTATCGCGAATGGCTGGAAACAGAATTGCCAGGGCTACTTACGAGGTCAAAGCGGAGGGAAGGAGGTCACAGTGAAGACCAAGAAAAAGATGGGAAGAAGGAGTTAAAGAAGCCTTTGACAGGAGAGGAATGGACTGGAGTAGGAGAAGACAGCTGGCCCAGGATAGAGATTCTTGGATCAGGCTCTTTAAGAAGGAACCTCACACTGCTCAGCGGTAACAGAGGACTGGATTAAGTAAGAAAGTATGTACCATAATATTAACAAGAAATCTGACTAAATAAGGCCAAAAAAGAGCAAGGAGCTGTACGAAGATCATTGAAGACCTAAAAATATCGAAGAAGAAAAGAAGTTTCACGCTTACATGAATAGGATGGAAAAGAATGTATTGAACAAGCCGGTCTTTGATAAAGTAATAAAAAATAACATATAGAGAAGTTTAGAAAGATATGAAGTTTACGAAACCAACTCAGCCATAATTAGAGCAAATATCGACAGGATATAAAATGAATATACACGAAATTTGCAGGAGGGTGGCAAAATATGTGTACATTTCAATCTTTTTGTTTAAATAATGCTCATATCTCCCAGTATTTATTGATGCCTACTAACTTGAAATAGACCAGATTATAACATGAGATTCGCCTCTCGGGAAAATACGTGATCAAGATTTCAGTTGACAATAAAATTAAATACTCCACAACTTGAGTGCTAAATGTTTAATACTAAAGATAAAGAGACATATTATCACGTATTACATACTTATGCCTTATGAGACACTAATGCCCAATATAGATAGATAAAAAAAAACCTGTACCACTACAACCCATGAAGGGTCTGTGGTTCAGTAATATTTAGGGAAAGCACTGTTTCTAGGTCAACGGTTGTGCAAGGAGGTGATTTGACCGAGATCACGCTCAACCGCCAAGTTTTCTCCCTTAATTAATTATTTAATTAAGGGTACCCACTTTATAGAGGCTGGGTGTGCCCCAGCAGGGTCGCCCCACGGCCAATGAAACAGATAAACAATATAGATAGATAGATAGATAGAAAATAAACTTTATTCTGGGACGAGGTCCCTTATAAATAACAATTATGAACAAAAAAATAAAAAGCACATCTGGCCAAAAATTAAATTAATCAACATTAAAGAATACATACAGTATTTTCAGTGAAATTATATCAAAACAAATAAAAAGTAACACCATTTTGAAAAAAACAAACAAACATTATTTAAATGAAAAGAAAAACAGAAATCAGGTAAAATAAAAACTCAAACAATTTCAACAACCATTCACCTAAGTCAAAATTTGTTTCACAATATTTATTTCAATGTACAACGTCATTTTGGGAATTGGTATTTAAATGAGGACAAGAAAGTGACATGGCGGATATCAGATGGCAAGGAATTCCAGAAGGCAGTTGATCGGGCAATAAAGGAATATTCAAATGTCTTAGTTCTATGGAAAAGGATATAATGGTCGGAAACACGGGATCTTGTTTTCTGGGAGTGGACCACGGGTTTGAACTGTAGGAGACTGTAGATGTAAGAAGGGTGTCTGGTGTTGATTGTTTGGAATAGGAAAGATCCGAGGAAATATTGTCTGCGGAAAGAAGGGAAGAGCCACTTTAACTCTTCGTAAAGGTGGGACACATGAGACCGCTTCGATGTACCGAAGACATTTCTTAAGCAGGAATTCATGAGTCGCTTCAATGTATCCTCGAGTACCATCGGGATGCCTCCGTACAACCGTAGTCAAAGTGGAGGAAAATAAGAGAGGATACAAGGAGCTTGCGGATGGGTTGTGGGAGTAGGTGGCGGGAGCGATGAAATAACTTCATTAAACTTTAAAAAGAATTATAACACACAACAGTTTAAAAACCTGTACCACTAGAACCCATCAAGACCCTGGGGTTCAGTACTATTTAGGGAAAGTACTGTTTCTAGGTCAACGGTTGTGCAAGGAGGTGATTTGACCGAGATCACGCTCAACCGCCAGGTTTTCCCCCTTAATCAATTATTTAATTAAGGGTACCCACTTTATAGAGGCTGGGTGTGCCCCAGGAGGGACTCTCAACCCAGAGTCGCCCCCCCGGCCAATGAAACAGATAAATAAATTTTCTGCCATGAGCCGGGTCTCGAACCTGAGACCTTTGCATTGGAAACTCAGTGCCCTACCACTGAGCTACCCCACTCCCTACAACAGTTTAAGAGTAAAAATTTACCAGGGTATGGGTAATCTTAATGGGATGGAAAT